GGGGAATCCCCCTGCAAACGCTGTGCCAAGGAAATACCCCCCTGGTGCAGGGGAGGTGCCCTTTGCCTGCATCGAGGGCACATCTGGTCACTGGCCCCGGTGGCTCTGAGCTGTCCCAGAGCACACCGGGCACAGCAGCTCTGGCCCTTCTCTTCCCCGTGGACTTGGGGTAGTTTCTAACCCAGGTTGTTCTGTATTTTTTGACAGAGAGCTGCTTTTGGAACTGATGCAGCAGCACTGAGTAGAAGGGATGATTTGGATCCCTTGGACCCAAGCGGGGGAGGGACAGAGTTGTACTACGTGCCAGAAAAAGGTCTCCACTGCCAGCAGTGTCCCGCAGGTAGGATGGTCTCAGTGATCCCCCCGTGTGCAGCCTCGCCGTGTTCCTGTTGGCAGAGCCAGCAGGGCCTTGCTTTTTGTGAGGGGCAGCTCTCCCCTGCTCCGCTGTCATGGATCTAAGGATTCATTATTGAAATATTTCCCTTTTGTTTATTCCTCGTTTGCCTCTGAACTTCGCTGGCAGTGCAGTGCCAGAACCACAGAATGGTCCAGGCTGGACCATCAAATCCAACCTGTGCCCCATCCCCACCTTGGCACCCAGCCCAGAGCACTGAGTGCCACGGCCAGTCCTTCCTTGGACACCTCCACCACCTCCCTGGGCAGCCCATTCCAACATTTAATAACCCTTTCCATGAGGAAATTCCTCCTGATGTCCAGCTTGACCCTCCCCTGGCACAGCTTGAGGCCGTTCCCTCTCCTCCTGTCCCTTGTTCCCTGGCAGCTCCCCCCTCCTGTCAGGGGGTTGCAGAGCCAGAAGGTCCCCCCTGAGCCTCCTTTTCTCCAGGCTGAGCCTCCCCAGCTCCCTCAGCTGCTCCTGCTCTTCCAGCCCCTTCCCCAGCTCTGTTCCCTTCCCTGGACACGCTCCAGCCCCTCAATGTCTCACCATGAGAGGCCCAGAACTGGGCACAGCCCTCGAGGTGCCCCAGCAGTGCCACCTCAGGGGGACAATCCCTGCCTGCCCTGCTCCTGCTGGTCACACTGGTTTTGATCCAGGCCATTGGCTTTCTTGGCTGGCAAATCACCCCCCTCTCTGCACAGACACGTCCTCCCTGTCCTGTGTGCTCAGAGCTGCCCTTCCTCTCGCAGGCACCCACCTTGCAAAGTCCTGTGAAGAAGAAAATGGCTCCAGCACGTGTTTGCCCTGCAAGGCCGAGGAGTTCATGGATTACCCAAACGCCTTCCACTCCTGCCATGAATGTCTGAAGTGCAGGGAAGGTACGAGGCGGTGGGGACCGGGGCAGTGCTGGCTGATGGACACCTGCAGTGTCCCCAGAGGGTGGCTGGGAGCAGGCTGGGTCTGGAGCTGGTGTAGCAGCTCGTGCCAGACCTGCCTCTGTGTCCAGGGCAGCGTCCCCTGTGCCAAGCTTGGATATGAGACCTCCACAAGGACCAGGAGGACGAGGCTCCCGGTGGCACTGGAGGCTGCTGGTGGAGCTTGATCCAGGCACTGCTTTTCCCTTGGTGTGGGCAGGAGTGGGGCAGGAAAGGGCGAGGCTGAAACATCAACAGCAGGGACTGATTTGGTCTTCCTGGGGCTTGGGACGCTCTCGGGGTCGTTAACAGGGAAGGAGTGGGCACAGAGCCCTGTCTGCTGTCACCCACAGATCAGGTGGAGCTGAGTCCCTGCCAGGCCACCAGGAACACGGAGTGTGCCTGCAAGAAGGGCACCTTCTGTGACCCGAAGCTCCCCTGCGAGATGTGCCACAAGTGCCAGACCCGGTGAGTTGGGGGTCATGGGGGGGTCCGTGCCTGCAGCTCAGCTCCAGCTGCTGATCCTGCCCTGTCTCCCCCTTTCCCAGGTGTCCCGAGGGCCAGGTGGTGCTGTCTCCCTGCACTCCTTACAGTGATCTCCAGTGTGGTCCTGCCCAGGGCACCGGCTTCAACTGTGAGTGGGGAGGGAAGGTGGGCTGAGGGATGGAGGTGGGAGCTGCTGCCAAGGGGAGTAGGAGCAGCTCCCACACCCCTGGTTTTTGTGCTTTAGACCTCTGGATTATCATCCCGGTGGTGATCCTGATCCTGCTTGTGCTTGTGCTCCTCATCTGTAAGTACTGCTGCTGTTCCCCAGGTGAGCACTGGGTGCAGGGGACCCCCAGAGCACTCACCTGGGCTGGGGGCTCTGCAGTGCCGTGGGCTGGGTGGGAAGAGGGACCTGCCTGGGCAAAGGGATCACAGCACTGTTTCCATCTTCCAGGGAAGAGGAGAAACCTGACGTCCTACAGTTTGAAGGTGAGCTGCTGGGATGCCAGCGGGGTGGTGGCTCTGTTTGTGGGGCTAGGGTGAGGTCCCCCATGCCCTCTGCTCCCCACTGCAGCTCCTGGGGAGGCTGGAGGAGCAGGGGGTGAGTCTCACCCCTGCAGGGATGCGGTAGCCAAGCACAGGAGGGTCCCTGTGTGCTTGCAGTGCCCTCACAGTGCCATGAGCCCTCCCCCTGGCAGAGGTGCTGGCACACCCAGGGTGCCCAGGGGAGACCCCAGGGTGAAGGGAGGGCTGTGCTGTGCCAAAGCTCCTGCAGGCTCGGGATAAGCAAGCAAACCATGCCCTTGAGCCCACGGCAGGGGGGATGCTGCCATCAGCATCCCTGTGGGGCTGCTGGGAGCTGGGACCACCCGCCAGGGTTTGTGCTTCTCTCCTGCCCCAGGATGCAAGCAACCTGATGCAAAAGCTGAGCTGGTGCGGGAGGGGGAACGTGGGGACTCAGGACAACAACCTCAACGAGCAGCGCGCCCGGGATCCGCCGCTCCCCAGGGCCGAGGAGTCAGAGGTACAGAGTGACCTCTGCCCAAGCTCTGATGCTTCCTTCTGCCTCCCCCAGGCTCATCAGCTTGGGGGGAGTCCAGGGCTGGACCATGGTATCCGCAGGGAGGTGGAGAGGGGTCTTCTGTCCTTGTTCTGGGTTCAGGACTGCAAATCCTGCTCGTTGCAGTCGACTGCCAGAGTCCTCTGTGGGTTTAATGCTGCTGAGCAAACAGCTCTTCTCTCCCTGGCTGGGAACCACGAGGCAGCTCTCCCTGCTTGTGGCCTGCTGCCATCCCAGAGCTAGGAATCCATGATGTCCTGGGGGTGGAGAGTGGTGTCCTGCCCCAACAGCCCCTGGAGAGAGGGAGAGGGGTCTCCAGTCCCTGCACTGGGGGGCTCAGGGACAGCATTTGTGCCGGGGCTTGGTGGGTGCTATAGACATTGCCATTCCAGGAGATGCTGCCGATTGCCCCTTCTCCCAGGCCGAGACCCAGGAGGGATCTGGTTCCACAGACAGGGAAAGAACCCATTCAGGGTAAGTGTTGGGGCCCAACAGATGTGCTGGGGGGGGGCAGAGGGGGTGAGATTTCTGACCCAGCTGCCCGTGCTCTGCCCCGTTCTCTGAGCTTTCCCCTTCCCCCTCCAGCGCTGCGAAGCACTTTTTACATCTTTGCTGGAATGAAATTCATCTACTGGAAGAAATTCGGCCGAAGCCTCAACATGCTGGAGAACGACCTGCCCTTTGACCGGTCACAGGACGCCTTCTACGAAATGCTCAACAAGTGGCTGGAGAGAGAAGGCTCCAAAGCCTCTGTGAACGTGCTGCTGGAGACCCTGGACCAGCTCGATCTCCGCGGGGTCGCAGACGACATCTCCTCCGAGATCATCAGGAAGGGATTATTTAAACCTGAAGGAGACGAAGAGCAGGGCGGGTCCTGTGACCCGTGACCCAGAGCTGTGAACTACCTCCCAGGACATATGAATTTTAGCTGTTTATAGCTCTGCTGTTGTGGAGCTCGGCTGAACCAGGAGTGAAGTACGGACTTCGTGGTGCTATTTTTGTAGCTGTTGCAGCTGCAGGCTCCATGGTGGTGCTTCCTTACGGATGCCAAGTGCTCTCTTGGTTTCACTTGGGCATTCACTGGTTAGTTGCTGCTAAGTTTGGTTTTTTAAGTTACTTTAAGGTTTTTTTAAGTTACGTTAGTGGTTCTGCTTGCTGTTCCAGCTTGAAAAGTGGACTTTGAGGGGAGAGTGGGAACGATTTATTTGCACTATGATCACTGGGGTTGCTTAAGAAAAGGGACAGTGCAGGGATCATCTAGTCCAACCCCCCCTGCCACGAGAAGGGACATATTCCACTGGATCAGGTGGCTCCAAGCCCTGTGTAGCCTTGACCTTGAATGTTTCTAGGGATGGGGCAACCACCACCTTTCTGGGCATCCTGTGCCAGTGTTTAACCACGTCCTCATTTGAAAAAGGTTCGTCCTAATATCCAGTCTATTTCGACCCTCCTTCAGTTTGAAGCCATTCTCATGTCCTGTCACTCCAGGCTCTTGTCCAAAGTCCCTCTCCAGCTCTCCTGGAGCCCCTTCAGGCCCTGCAAGGGGCTCTCAGGTCTCCCTGGATCCTTCTCTTCTCTGGGTGAACCCCCCCAGCTCTCCCAGCCTGGCTCCAGAGCAGAGGGGCTCCAGCCCTGGAGCATCTCCGTGGCCTCCTCTGGACTCGCTCCAGCAGCTCCACGTCCTTGTGATGTTGGAGGCCCCAGAGCTGCAGGTGGGGTGTCATCAGAGCTGAGTAGAGGGGGAAAATCACCTCCCTGGACCTGCTGATGACAGTTTAGTTCCGTTCCCTCGGCTGTGGGGTGGCTTTGCAGTCCCTGTGTCTCCAGCCAGCGTGGAAAGGTGAATGCACTGAAGGTCTGAGAGTGACCACGAGTACCTGCCATCCCTCCCCCAACTGCAGGGGTTGCTTCTCAAACACTTTCCCTCTCACGCATAGCTCAGGGACAACTTTGCTGGAAAAACTACTGGATTACTTGAGCTGCCACCCCAGTACAGCCCAGTCCACCAGGACCTTCCCCAGTGTGGTGGGAGCAGCCCAGGGCTGCCCTTTGCTGCCGAGCACTTGCCCCTCCTGCTCCCACCACTTCTCCCCCACTCAGTACAACACAACAAACCACGTGGATGCAAGCAGGACTTGTGTATTTATGTATTTATTTAGCAATTGTTTACATATGTTAACTTAAAAGTTAATATAAAAATATTGGTATTTTGGTATGCATGGTTGTGTGTGTTTTATACAGAGCTCTGGCCCAGCCAGTTTGCTTTATTTTCCAGTTTTTACATTTCTCTTTATGAAGGAAGAATTAACTTTTTAAAAAAAAAAAAAATCCTCCTGATTTCTTGTCTGGTTTTATTTCCCCCCACACACACACCCCGTGCTCTGCCAGGGTTTCAGTGGGCACCAAAGGAGCTGGACCAGATGCTCAGCAGCTGCTCCCCGTGGTGCCAAGGACCCAGCCCATGGAATTCGTGCATCCCACTGGGAACGGTCCCCACCAGCGATGCTTCTGCCGGGGGAAAAAGCCCTCAGCAGCCAACCTGGCCTCTGCCTTAACCCCTACACCATGAGTCCTGTGCTCTCTGCTCCCTGCAAGAACAGGAGGGTGAAATCTGTCCCTCGAGCAGGGGGTGGGACCCCGGGGCCAAGGGGGGGACCACGCGACGCTGACCCGGGGCCGGAGCTGCTCCAGCTCCACCCAGCCAGGGCTCTGTGTGCTGCAGTAGCTGTGTGGCAAATCCATGCAGTGCTTAAGTGAGAAGAGGGGCTCTGCTGGCCCCCAGAAAGCCCCTGGGGCTGCCCACCAGCCCCCGCACTGCAGTTGGGGTTTATCGGTAGCGCTGGGGCGGGTGCGAAAAGCAGGAGCTCTGGGGGGGGCCCTACCAGGACCAAAAGGTCCTGTCCCGGGCAGCCCCTCGTGCCTCCCGAGCATGCAAACCTGGGCAGGGAGCTCCTGCAGAGCCAGGCACGTGCAGGATGGAGGGCTGGGACACGGGGGCTCAGGGCCTGGCCTGGGGGAGGCACACGGGACCGGGGAGCGCCCGCAGAAGAAAGGGAAAGAAACTCGTGGTCCTACCTGCTCGTTGGGGCTGCAGAGGGGGAGAACACCCAGGGTGAGCTCGCTGGAGCTGCCACCTCGCTCCTGCATCCGTGGCCGAGGGCGAGCATGCGGAATGAGAGGCTCCAAGGTGCTCTGCGAGGCCAGCTGGGAAGAGGAGCAAGGTGGAGTGGGAGGGGATGCACCGGGAGCATCCCCGTGTGCTCCCTCCGGCCGCAGCCTCTGCCAGGGATGGGCTCTTCCCCATCCCAGCTGGGGAGGGCGAGCGGAGGTTTGGGTCCTTCCTGGCCTGCCTGGCAGCCCTGCAGAGCCCTGGGGCTGTGGACCTGCAGGGACACAGGTGGGACATGCAGAGTTAGTCTGACGGGAAAGCCACCTCTCCTTGTACAAGGGGTTTTGATGGATGGATGGATGGATCCTGCAGTGCTTCCCTGTCCCTGTCCATCCTGGGAGCCCTGGAAGGGGGGTGATGGTGTCCCCCCAAGCAGGGCACAAGGATGTGCTGTGTCCAGGCGCTCCCTCCCAAACACACAGGGACCACGCTGGGCTTTGAAAATACCATTTATTACAATGGAGCCTTCCAGGCTAAAAGCCCAAGCCAAGGGCCTGGGGTTGGTTTCTGGTGTGGCAGGTTGGGGGAGTGGGTTTGGGATCGGGGTTGGGTTTTTTTGCTTTAAGTTTTCTTTTTAAACAAAAAGTTAAGAATGGGGAGGAGAGGACTCCGGTCCCCTCCACGCCCTGAATTAGGGACAGACCCCACTGGTAGGGGAATTCGCTGCAGTGCCTGGAGGCATTTGGGGACCAGGGTCCCCTGCACTGTGCCTGACCCTGCTGTGAGTCAAAGGGGGTGGCAGGACCCCCACAGTGGCTCCAGGTGCCATCAGACACACGAACCATATCCCACAGCTTCTGGTTACAAATCAAAGTGGAAGCGGGATGCGTTTCTTCTTCTCCTTCTTCTTCTTCCTCATGCTGCTGATGTTCCAAACAAACAAACGTACCAAAAAAAACCCCAAAAAATCAAATCCAAAATAAAACCACAACACAGCCCTCGTGCTCCTGTAAACATGAGTTTCTCCTGCTGCTCGGGCTCTGCCAGTCCTGCAGTGCTGGCACCGTGGCGCGGGGAGAGCAGGGCTGCAGGAGCACCAGGGGCTGGCCCTGAGCCCCCCACCACAGGGACAGACCCCCGTGGCCACCATCTCCTCTGGGGCTTCGGCCCGTGGCGTCCGCTGCACGCCTGGCGCTGGGGCAGGTCACCCCCTGCTTCCTCCTCCTCCTCCTCCTCCTCCTCCCCGTCTCCTCCCAGGGATGCTGGAGCCAGGGCAAGGACGGGCTTTCAGACCACAGCCGAGGAGGAGGAGGAGGAGGACGAAGAGGAGGCTGTGGCTGCTGACGATGAAGGAGAGGAAGAAGGGGAGGAGGAGGCGTTCCAGAAGAGCCACCGCCTCTTGGGCTGCCGTTTGAGGTGGAGGTAGTCTTCCTTCTCCCGCTCCTTCTTCGCCCGCTGGTAGTGATCCTCCTCCTTCAGGTACCACACCGGCGGCCAGCGGTGCTTCTCGAAGTACTCCTGGTTCTCTGCAGGGAGACAGTGGGGGAGAGACGGGGCTGAGGGTGTGGCGCAGGACCACACCCAAGGACCCCCCCCACCCTGTCATCCCCCCCTGGCTCCCACTCACCTCCCGACATGGCCTTCATGTCCCGGGGGAACTTGCGGCAGACGTTGTTGTAGTTGGTGCAGATGTGATGGAGGCACCAGTCGGCGAGCTGGTAGGCGCAGTGGAACTGCAAGGGATGGAGCCCCACGTCAGAGCCCCCCAGGCATGGACCAGCAGGAGGGATTCACCCCATTTCTCCATGGACACCCAAGACCTGCTTGTCCCCTCTGCCAGGGCAGCATCACCCACCCCCCCGGAGCAGCCAGACCCCTCTGAGTGTCACCACCCAGCACCTTGTGCCTCCCTGTCCTACCTGAGCCAGCTCCAGGAACACGAGCACGTCCCCATCGATGTCTCTTGGGGCCGCCTCCATCAAGCGGTGACCGTGTACTGCTCTTGGGGGACACAGGGGGTCACGCGGGAGGCCGGGCGGGGGACACCCACCCAGCTTGGGGACAGCCCCGCTGCAGCCCCCCGGGTGACTCACCATTGTGAGAGCCCACCAGGTGCGCAGGCAGAGGCGGTTGGCGAGGATGATGAGCTTCATGTCGTCGAGGTCGGGGCTGGAGCTGAACTGCCCCGTGTACAGGTACTCCAGCACCGCCCGCATGCAGCTCTTGCTGGTGTGAGGAAGTGCCACCTGTGGGACACACACACACACACACGTTGCCACCTCATGGCCGTGCCCACCCTTCTCCCGGGACAGCCCCCGGGACCCCTCCTCATCCTCACCTCGTTGGTGGAGCTCTCCACGAAGGGGCCACCGAACATCGCGGCCATCCAGTCGCAGCTGGAGATGAGCAGGGGCTTGTGGGCACTGATAGCACCGTCATCCAGCACGAAGGTGACATCTGAGGACAAGCACAGGGATGCTACCGGGGCTGTCTCCATCCCCTGGGGCTCAGCCACCCCCTGCCACAAAGTATCTCACACCAGGAAGGGGACAGAGTCTGGCATTTCCTATATTTTTCCTTTAAAAGTCTCTCTCTTTTTTCCAGCATCCCCCACCAGCTCAGAGGAGCTCAGGGAAGGGCCTCAGCAGTGCTTCGAGTATTCTGAGGGACTTTCCCAGGTCATTCCACAACACATTTGAAAGCAAAGGGCAAACTAAGGAAGCAAACTTGTCTCGCCCAAGTTTGAGTCCTTGGAGAACTGGGAAGGACGCTGGGGATCTCCTGCCCCCCCTACTCTGCTCTCCACAGCTTCTCCCAGGGGTGTGCCACGGGCCAGGACACATCTGTCCCCTCACAGTGACAGCTTGATCACATCAGGATCCATGTTCAAGAAACAAATCCAGCCAGAGGGAGGCTGGGACATTCACATCCCCCTGGGATGTCACCTCGTGCTGGTGGCTCATGGTGCTCAGTGGAAAGCTGGGGAAATCCTACTAAGGGCACTCGCTCCCAATAAATCAGATGACCCTGTGAAAAATCCAAGCTGGGAGGGAAGGAAGTCGCCTCTGCTGCTCTTCCGTAAATAAACGGAGCTGCTGGACGGGCTGGGGAGCAGGAAGCCCTGGGGAAGGGCCCTTACACTCACTTTCTTGGGAAAAAAAGCAGCAATAAAAATCCCAGAAAAGCAAAGTGTGACCAGAAGCCCCGGGGAAGGCGAGTGAACACCTGTTCACCCTCCACTGCATGGCCAAACCCAGGAGCTCTGAGCCCACCATCCACCCCTCAGACCCCCCTCCCAGGGAACAGGGGGGGCTGCTCCCGGGCCCCTGGAGTCGTACCCGAGAAAGTCCCCTTGGCCAGGCATTCCTTCACCCGGTTGGTCCTCCGGACGTGGAAGGCTTTGGTGATCTCCTGGTTCATGAACGCCTCGTTGTTGAGGATGTTGGCCACCATCATCCGGAGGTCGAAGACCTCCAGCAGCTCGGCGATGTGAGCGATGTGCATGAGGTCCCGCTCGTTCTCATCCAGCTCCCCCGTGTACAGGTACTTCAGCACGGCCCGGAAGGGACCCGGCTGGATGGAAGCGTCCATCTTCACCACCACCATCAGCTTGGACTTGTAGGTCAGCGGGTCTTCGGCCATCTCCTCCTGGATGCTGGTGAAAGCCCGGCTCCACGAGGAGAGGTTCCTGCCCCGCCGCAGCCCGCGCTCCCCGTTCTCGTAGCGATTGCCCCGCAGGATCCCGTCACTGGTGGAGGCTCTAAGGCACGGTTTGCGCTGGCCGGATCCAGCCTCCTCGGTGCTCTCGCAGATGTCGAAGCTGGCGGCCCTGAGGAGGAAATCCCGCCCGTGGTGCCTCTCCTCCTGGTGCAGCATCCGCTCGGCGGCCGCGGTGACGGCCACCCCGAAGCCGTGCCCCGCGGCGCCCTGCTGGTCCTCCTCGCTCAGGTCCATGAGGAACAGGTCGTAGAACTTGGAGGAGGAGGTGGAGAGGTAGATCTTGTGTGCGTAGATTTTGATCTTCTCTTGCAGCACCAGGATGACGTCCGCGCACAGGGGGTCCTCTAAGAGGTGGGCTGGACGCTCCTCGTTGTTGGAAGGGGGGTCCGGGACGATGATGATGGGCGGGGGGGGCTTGGGGGGCAGGAAGGGGGCTTGGAGAAGAGGCCTCTGCACGTTGCGGAGGTGGGACTTCCAGAACTGCAGGTGGCGGCGGGAGATGAGGGCGGCGCGGATGGCGTTGTCAAAGACGTCCTTGACGCCAAACTGGGCCACCACGCTCGTCTCGTAGTAGGGGATCCCCAGCTCCTTGGCGACCTCCCTCCCCTTCTCCGGGGGTAGGATCTCGTTAGGTTTGATCGGCCTGAAAAAGAGAGGGGAGATGACGAACCCTTCGGGCAAGGGGGACAGCGTTGGGCAGGCAAGGACACCTCCAGGGCCCCGGGGTCCCACCTGGCCAAGGGCCGCCGTGCCCGGTTGACGGCCTCCAGGTCGGCGTAGCGCAGGTCGAGCTGGCAGCCCACCAGGATGACGGGCGCGCGGGGGCAGAAGTGCTTGATCTCCGGGTACCACATGGTCTTCACGTGGTGCAGGGAGTTGGGGTTGGCGATGGAGAAGCACAGAACCACGACGTCGGACCTGCGAGGGGAGCGGGGTCAAGGTCCAGCTCTCGGCGCCTCGGCTCTGCCCTCCCTCCTCCCTGCACCGAGGCTCTGCCCCCTCCCTACCTGCCGTAGGCAAAGCGCCTGTCCTTGTGGTGGTCACCAAAGGTGTCCCAGAGCCGCAAGGACACGCTGACATCGTCTACCACATCCCGGGAGCGCTCCAGCACCTGCGGGAACAGAGACACCGTCCAGCTCCCGAGTCCTCGAGCAGGGCACGGGGGAGCGATTCCCACCTCCCCGGCGGGGAGGACGCGGCTCCACCTCCTCAGGGTTCCCAGGGGGTATCCGTGAGCAGCCCTCACCTCCTGGCAGACGCGGTACTGGTCGATGGCCCACACCGTGGGCACGTGGGTGGCGAGGAGCTGGTACTGGGTCAGCGTGGCGTTGCAGGCGCGGGCGCAGATGAGCCGGGTCTTGCCCACCGCGTTGTCCCCGACCACGACGCACTTGATAGTTTCTACGTTTGGCCTCTCATAATCCATGTCAGAATCCATTAATTGGGACCTGCAGGGGGAACGGGGAGGGGGTGGGTTGGCGGATACACCCAGGCCAAGCCGGGAGGGCTGTCTGCAGACGGGTCAGGAGGCCAGAGGGGGACAGAGGGATGCTCTCGCTCCCTCGCAGCCCAGAGAAGCTCTGCAGCAGCTGCCCAGCCCTCCCTGGCTCACGCTCCCCGCCAGTCCCCTTTAAAATTTCATGTTCTCGTGGCAGCGTGCGTTGCTGTGCCGTCAGACACATGCCCTGCGCTTCATTCCGCCCTCCTCCCTCCTGCTCTCCGGCTCATGCTTGTTCATGTGAGATGAGCCTTCTTTTTTTTTTTTTTTTTTAACTCCCTCCCTCCTTTTCCTTTTCTCCTTCTCCAGCACTCGCAGGCGAAGCTTCCAGATCTGCCCGAGTGAGTGTACGCGCGGGCACTGCCAGTCTCTCCCCTGCCAGTCTCGGGGGAGCACAGTGACCTGCCCCTCTTTCCCCACCCCATTCCCAGAGCAGATATTTGCTCCCAGCAAAGAACAGCAGAGAAGAAACTTCTCCTGTTTCCCAGAGGCTCAGCAGCCACTGTGACTGGGAGGGCTCCCAGCATCACCAGTCTCCCAGGAGCAAGTGTGACCCCAACGCTCCCCGAGAGGGAGGATGGTGCCACGGGTGCTGTGAGGATGGTGTGAAGCACCCAGGTGTGCCCAGGTGTACCATCCTTTGCCTGTCCACACCTCAGAGTCCAAACCAGGCAGGACTAACTCATCACAGCAGGGTTTGACAAGATTTCCAGGGGGAAAAAGCAGCAAGGAGGTCGAGGGAAGGGGGAGACGGACTAAAAAAGCCCCACATCCCAATCGCTCTGAACTTCCCAAAGCCGCAGATCTCTTCCCCCTTGTCACTCCCTCCTGGCACCAGCCTCCTGAGCTTCTATAATAAACCACCAGCGCAGTGAGCGAAAATACCCGGTAACCGTGGCAACCGAGCCCTGCACGCGGGACCAGGGCCGCAGCTCCCCAGCCCGGCAAGGACTTCCCAATGTTAGCACCTCCCTCCGTGCTCCTCCTCCCTCCCTCCCGGGCACACCTGGACACACCAGCGGCACGGGAGAGGGCTCGGCACCGCGCGGGATTGAGCCACGAGCCCCGTGGGCAGGTGCAGGCAAAGGCAGGTGGCACAAATCCAGGTTGCTTTGGGTGCCAGTGCTTCGACACCGGGCTGGTCCCCGGGTAAAACTTCTCTGACTAGTTGTCACCGCATTCCACGTCCCCCTCCATCCTCTGGGATTCAGGGAATGCATCCAGGAGGGCGTTGAAAACCAGAAACAGCAGCCTCCTTGGGCTCTGCATGTGGAAAGGAACCAGGGCAGGTGGTCCCCTTCCCTGGCAGCCCCTCAAAACCCGTTTCCATCTCACACATCGCCCTCCACTGCTGCTCCCGGGGATCA